CTGGACTAGTTAACACTGCTGAATCATGTAATGTAATGTGTTATTTCACTATAACTCTATTTCACTATATTATAACGGTCAACTGAAGTTATGAGATGGGCTTGGAGTAAAAACGTATATTAAATGTGGTATTTTGCATGCTTTTTGATCAGCATCAACACCAAGCCATAGTTCACTGAGAACAGCTGTCAAAAAAGGCAAATAATATTTTCTGCAACCTTTTTAACTTGACTCTAAACTAATGGCTCTGTGTAGGAAACACTGCTCCATCTAAAGCAGGGGTCTCAAACTCGCGGCCCGCGGGCCATTTACGGCCCTCAGTGCAATATTTTGTGGCCCGCGCCGACCGCTGTACTCTGACAGAAGCAGCGGAGCGGGGAGAGAGAGCGCTCCCCGCTCCGCTGATTCTATCCGTACACATCGCGCTTGTCACTCAATGCGCGTTGTCGCGCGCGTTCTGATCAGCTGTGTTGTCGTGCGCGTACTCAAGAGCGGTGTTATCGCGCGCCTACTAAAGAGCGGGACCGAGGGTGTGTCACGTCGCGGGGGCACTTTTAATCATTTTGGAAGGGCACTTTCTATGCAAGACTAAAAAGGGCATGTACTCTGCACAGGTTGAGCCCTATGTGTGCACGTGCCTGCCCTGCATCTTAAATATATTGATATTATTGGTAGATACAGACTGGTACAGACTGATGTGACTGGAGTGGGGTGGGGGTGTTTCATTTATACATATATACGCCTTTTTTTCAGGTGAGGGAATGGAAGTTTTGAGTGAGTTCCCCCACTTTTTTCCCTAGGACTTCAATAAGTCAAAGTACAGGTCTAGACTTAATGATGATCATCTTCAAGCCATACTGAGGGTCTCAACTGCTTCCGCTCTAAAGCCAAATGTGGTTTAGATTTGTGAGAAGAAGCGCTGTCAAGTCTCTGGCAGCAAGAAGTAGGCAAAAGATGCCATGTTCAGAAGAACTGTTCATAATCTTCACTCAATGTTCTATTAATGTTCAGGACACTTCATGTTTAGAAGAAATAATTAAAACTGTTAATAATGACATTTGAGGACTTTATTTTTGTGAAATCCCTTATGCGGCCCAGCCTCACCCAGACTTTGCCTCCTGCGGCCCCCAGGTAAATTGAGTTTGAGACCCCTGATCTAAAGGAATCTGCTGGAGGTTTAGAACCTGATTTACTGAAAACTGAGCATGAATTTCACCTTTGGTTAATCATTTAGGATTATAAAAAGTTTGCTGTGCAATACTGGTCTACTTTCCACATAGCCAATACTGTATCTCTTTATGACTGCAGGTAAAAATAAGCGAGTCGGAAAGCAGCTGGCGTCACAGAAGATTCTCCAGATGCTTCATCCTCATGTGAAGAACTGGGGCTCACTGCTGCGCATGTATGGCAGAGAAAGCAACAAAATGGTTAAAAAGGTCAGCGCACGCACACACTGTTGTTTATACACACTGCATTAGAAGTGTTTTTTTGCAGTGACAGAGGTTGTAATGTTGAATTCTTATTGTTTTCAGGAGAATTCTGATAAGAGTGTGATTGAGCTTCAGCAGTATGCCAAAAAGAACAAGCCAAACCTTCACATCCTCAACAAACTGCGAGAGGAAATGATGAAACTGGCTCGAGAAAGGGTACGGCTGCAACCATGTGATCTAGTGCAGATACTGTAGATCTTATGATGTTGGCTAAAGATTAACCATTGTAATGCAATCAAGATCTGTATTATTTTATAACTTTTATACTTCAAACCAAAAAAAACACAATCTTCCTGTTAATGAGAGTGTTGAAATATATTTCTAATGCTACCTTTTATCTAGGTGTTCCTGTATTTAAACTTTTTATCAAATCACTTTTAAATGGATAGGAAAAAACTGATGCTGATGATGCACTTTTTAAAATATAAAACCAAATTCATGGTTACTCAAACTGCATTTTTAAAATGCATATTTCCACCAAAGCAACAGCTAAAAGAAGTATTTATTTTAAATGAGTTGTTTTAAATATTTTTATTTGCATTCTTAAATATACAATTGACAAATTATTGCATGAAATGTTGATCACATTATTATTTTATATATACATTTATATTAAAGATTTTCAAATAGTACAAACATCAGACAAACAAGCCATCCCCAAGCGCTGCAAAATAAATGAACCTTTACAAATGTGAGTTAAAAAGAAAAATAGTATTAAAAGTAAAATAAAATTATCAAAACAAAACAGAAGCCAGAACTCTTTTAAAATAAAAATTTCAGATTTTATGTAGAAAAGATTGAAGAGGTTCCTAAGGTCTACTGAATTTGTCTTGTTTGTGGTTGAAGTCATAATTTTTCCAAAGGAAGAAAGACTGACAACTGCGAAATCCACATGGAAATAGTTGGAGTTTGAGAAGTTGACCATTTTAGTAATACACATTTCTTAGCCAGAAATGTAAGACTTGTAAACAGGTTTGAGCTCTCATTCAAAAAGGTCTTCAAGTAAGTCATTCTACAAAAAAAGGGGGAGAAAATAAAGTTTTCCAGTTATCTCCTGGATTGCTCTCCAAAATGGTTGGATGTAAACACAAGACCAAAATACATGAAAAAATGTGCCCTTACAAGTTTTGTACTTAAAACAGAGATGGTTTATTATTTGAAACAGAAAAATTCTGCCCCACAAGCGTGTTATATACAAGGTAAAGGCTTGATTTGTTCTTGTTCTAAATCTTTTGGTTTATCATTATCATTTTGAGGTTTAAAAGAAGATTTATAACTTTTAGCATTTTACAAGCTGTACTGTTGATACCTGAAGGTGCTTTGTACGTATTAACCCAAAGTTATCTGAATGGGAAGCGTCTATTTCTATTCAAAACAACCTGAACTTTTTATGGGTTAACATATTGTTTAAATGTGTATTCATGAATTGACAAATATTAGTTAACTTGTGAATACTCATTTGTCTTTTCTATTGTTTCAGGAGGAGGCAAGAAAAAAGCCGAAGATGACTATAATGGAGTCTGCTCAACCTGGCAGTGAACCTCTGTGTACTGTTGACGTCTAGCAAACCCTCGTCCAGCATGTTATGATAGCACTGACCAATGGTAACAGTTGTGTAACAAAAGGTCATCGTACCATTACTGACTTATGCATTCATTTCCAGTGCAAATGGCAATACTAGTTACATTTTTATTCAAATTTTGAGCCCAATTCAGTCATTGTCCATAACATTTGTGTTCGGTAACGGTTGTATACATGCACTGCGGGCTGATAGAACGAGCATCAAATACCTCCAGATGCACTTCTGCACCTGAGAGTGCACAAACATAATGACGGCGTTTGACGTCATAGCCTACACAAATTTAGGTATGTGGTAAAATAATGTATGTTAAATAAGTATTGTGCTTTTTTTTTTTTTTTTTTACATTTGTGGCTTTTAGATGTTAATAAAAATATTGTTTTCCCTTTCTTAACCACAAATTTCATTTCATATTTTCAATGAAACTACAGATTTCACATGGCTGACTGTATCTCTGTAATGATGCATTTGTCATTGGTTCATTTATGTCAGCTGCTGTGGCATGCAGTGCACGTTTTATCTGGAAAATAGGGTTTATTATGACTTAGGTGTGTGTGTGGTATTTCAGTGGCTATTTTTAGTTATTGGCACGTGAAGCATTTTAAATGTTGTTTATTTTAAAGCATTTCATGTTGTGCACACTGCCAACTGCTGTTGAGAAATGCACTAACGTTGAAAGCATTTGCTCGTGAAGTGATCACGCTTTTAGTTTTTATTAAAGATGATGCATTTAGGCGGTCACTTTGACCAACTGCTCTACTTGTTCAGAAAGCACTGCAGAGAAAAGGCAAGCACAAGTGTGTGAGGTACTGTAGGTTGCTGATTAAGAGAACATCAGGGAGATAACATGCTCGTGTATTTCTTTTTTTGTAAGGTTTTTTTTTTTTTTTGGTTACATTTCCGTTCTAGAGACTGGTTGGTAATCTTCATTAGGAAATAAATAAACGTTGCCTTAGTTGTCCCCATCGTTTCAGTCGTGGTACCTTGTGTTTCAAAAGGGAAACGCTTCACTTGAGTCTGCATTTGTGATGCTGTATGTTACGTATTTGCCGTGGAGTGACGCTTGCTTTCTTGCATTGATATTTTAGAGGAAATGCCTTCTACGCATGTGCTTTTTTGCATTTGTCTTAAATATTCCTGTATGGTTTTGTGGACATTTGCTAAAGTTATTGTGTGCAGATCTTTATCACGTTGGTATATGAAATAGATTTAATCATATTCTTTACTTCAAAGGGTAGAGCACCTACAAAAAGAAAGGTGGTGACTTCGTACCTCGAAGAAAATCAAACCATGCTTATATTCAATAGCTTGAAGAACAGTGTGAACCAAAGCTTTAAGTCTTATGCATTTTTATAGAATATTGCTGCATAGCTACTCATAAAAAAATATATATATATAACTTACATGCATTGAACAATATAGAAAAAAAGATGCAATAACTGCTGAAATAAAATATGGTCCCTGTTTGAAGAAAACTACTCCGATGAGAGAAAAAAAAGATCAAACATTTCTGGCCTTAAGATTTTAAGGAAGATAAAATAATCTGGTTTTCTTGGGACAGCGACTAAACACTGCAGTGCACTGTCATTTTGAACTTTAGTATTTTAGTTTGTGTGCTTCTGAATGTTTACTGCGTTTGTGAAGGATCTTTCCTGTTTTTCATGAGCACAAGGCTGCTGCCACACAGAGAATATGCTTTCCCACTTAACGTCTGGAGTGTACGACTTGTCCTGTTCAGTCTTGCCAAGTGTGTATTAGCCGTATGAAGAGATGTGTGCTTTTTAGTCACTGTTGTCGAAGGGATGGTAATGTTGGATGATTTAGCTGCAAGTATCGCTGCCTAAACAATGTTTTAATGTGACACATGATCGCTGATACGCAGTGATTTGTTTATGCAAATAAATTGATGCCCAGAAACTGAAGTCTTGTGCTGTTTTTGTCTGGGATATTTTAATGCAACTAAAAAGAGGAAAAAGGGAAACGTGTACAAAATAGTGATAATGAGCACTTAAAGTTGGTTAAGACATAAGAAAACACAGCTTCTTAAGTGTTTAATAGAACAACAGCGGTTTTGTTATGTTGTCTATACGTCAGTGTTGGTGCTGTAGTCCACTCTTTCAAACAGCAGGATGGTTTCACAGTGCATTGTCTGAGGGAAGAGGTCCACAGCCATCGCTTTCACTGGACGAAATGCAGCTCCTCGCACACGGTTTGAGGGAGCTCTGCAGAGACTTAATAAGACATAAGCATTGTATAGTCATTCAAATTAAGAATGTAAAGTTAAATGGAACATTTTGCGTTTTATTTTATCCTGTCAACTACATAATTGATCCCCTTTTTTTCAAGAAAGTCAATATTGTGTTGGAGTACAAAAGTTAAAAAGACTAGATTTAGACTGCAGGAAATGTAGCCCAAAGCACTTGTTTTGTTAGCCCATATGTAACTTGACAGTGTAATTGACACAAGCCTCATGAAATGTGATCACTATAAAGATGTGTTACCATTACAAATATGATCCTGAATGCCAGAACACTGGTCTGCTATTCTGAGACCCAGATCCTTTATTTCTCTTTACTGTTTTATTATTATTATTATTTTACATTTCATCATAATTGCAACACAGTTGATTTGTATGATTAATATCAGTTGTGCTGTAACAAAACAAATCAGAAATAGCTGCATAACAGTAAGTAGTCAACAAAAAAATCTGTTACCATTGTGAAAATACAATGTAGAAATTATTTTACTCTATATTAAAGAGCTAAACATGACAACAACTATGCACAACTATTGTAACAACTGTCCTATTGTGCAACATATAAAATAATTTAACATTCAAATAGAATATGAACACTTCCCAGAAAACCTTTATTTAATGTCATCTAATACAGTGGTTCCCAAACCTTTCAGCCCAAACCCCTAAGATAATGCCAGTGACTTGTGACCCCCAAACTCCGCAGAGGTGGTTATAAATATACAAACGTTGCTCATATAACAATAGGTCTATATATAAATCATATTGGCAACAAAGTACAACAGTCTAACAACCCTGTCATTTTCACAATCGTGTATCAATGTTTATAATTTAATATTAACCTCGGCTAAAGACACTGGTGGACAATGTTTTCAGCACAAGTCTATTCTTGGTTTAATTTGAGATCATTCTCAATGTTCAGTTGTGGCCTGTATTTGATTGCCATAAAGGTGTCAACGTTTACCCTGGCACTATAAAAATCAATCAGCTGATGCTAGTGCTGTGTTGTCACTCTAACATAAACACACCAATCCTATGAAAAAAATTAAATAATTTAAAGGCTGTCGGCTTTTCAGTTGCATGTTGTTTTATTAATATAAAAAACTACTATTTTTACAATTTTTACACACAAACGGGTAAAACAAGGCTAAATCTGGGCTGTTTGAAAATTTATCGCAAGTCCAAAAACAGAAATGAATAATAAAACGTGAATACTGTTTAACTGATGAATAGTCATTTTTTCTAGCTTTTGTTAGATATCTATTAGATTTTCATCCCAAAAGTAGCCATGTTGTAACATCCAATGTTTTAGAGTTAAACATCTCTTAGATTTCCTTTAAACAAAATTATTTGGATTGCAGCCAAAAATTTGTCAAATAACTTTGACATGTCAGCAGTTTTACTTGAACCTTCTTAAATATTACTACTTATATTTCATAACTTAATTCATAATGTATTGGATGTCTCTGCTCTGAACTTGTTCCTGCCATTTTACATCATGGAAATAAAATGGTCACAAACTGCATTATTTCATTATACAATGGGATTAAACTTACTCAATAAAATTGTTCATCGCTGCTTTGGCATTGCAGGCGACATAGACCAGTCTCTTCAGATGCTCTGCTTTTCTGATTGCAAGAATAACTTTGGAATCTAAGAAGAGTGAGGAAAAAATAAGGTTAGAGAGATTATAAAATACAACATCTGTTTAATAAAGTATAAGACTGTACGCACGTAGGCCTGCCCTCGGAGGGTCGACGATTGCGGTGACATTTGGGGAAACGACAGCATTAAGGATAGTGGGAAACACGTCCTCAGCCTTTCCACAGTGAAACTCCACATTGGTCAAACCTGAAAATGTACAGCTGATGTCCGAGTAGATCATGGGAAATACATTTACATTCAGTCATTTAGCAGACACCTTTGTTTTAAGTGACTTACAACAGTTTGAAAAGAGAGAAGTGTTTCAACTGGTGGTTTGTCAAGCCCACTCATCTGTGTGAAGCTCACTTCATAAATGCACAATGTTTTTTTTTTTTTTTTTTTAGATTTTGAGTGATTGTAAGAAAGTGTCTGGTGCAAGTGTTTGTTAAAATGACAGATGAAAGATTGTATTTTCTACAGGTGGTTTATCACGCCTACTCACCTGTGTGAGGCATACACAGAATTGAATAATGTTTTGAGGTAGTTGTGTATAAAATAAACAAAGAAAAAACAGGATGGGGATGATTTCATTCTAGCTTACCGTTAGCTTTAGCATTAGCCTCAGCATCTTTTACTGCCTCTTGGCACAACTCTATGCCAATCACCTTCTTCACCCTCTGTTAATGAAAACATGAAAGTTGTTTTCTCTTCATTCATATATTTTTTTTGTTTATTCTTGGAACCAAACGCGCCACCTTTGCCAGTGAGATGCCGATGGTTCCGGTTCCACAGCACACATCTAGCACAGTGCTGTCCTGGTCCAGCTGAGCCCATTCACCCACGGCCGAGTACAGGATCTCAGCAGCAGGTGTGTTTGTCTGACAGTATCAGAAAAATTACAATGGAGGATATTTTACATCATGATCAGTATTAATGACAAAAACTTGATGACAAAAAGGAATGAGCAGCCTGCTGCCTTTTAACATTGAATTCATTCCTAAAATATATGATCACCTGGAAGAATGAGTGTGGAGAAATGCGGAATTTGAGTCCGAGAAGCTCCTCATGAATCCACTCTTCTCCAGTCACATGTTCACATGGCAAATCCTCTGTGCCCGCAGATGTTCTGGGTTGACAGAAATGAAGAAATATATTTAGATTTTAGTTGACCTGCACCCTAGTTATCAGAGATTTCCGGGATCTTACCTTTGTCCCATTCTCACAAAGTACAAAGAAGTAACAGCACATTCTTTTCCTTCTCCTTCTGTGAAATACTGACCCAGGTTCTGTTTCAGCTCCTCAAGTTCTTTCTCTTGAAGTTTCTTGATTGAAAAAAAAAAGTGTTATATTTGGAATTGAAACAAGTGACTGCCTTCTCAATAGCCTTCAAATCGTGAAAATAAAAACTGTGAACTAAAAATATGCATTATGTAAATACTCACTGGCCACTTTATTAGGTACACCAGGCCAGCTACACATTAACGCAAATTTCAGCCAGTCACATGGCAGCAACTCAATGCATTTAGGCATGTAGACTTGGTCAAGACGATCTGCTGCAGTTCAAACCCGAGCATCAGAATGGCAAAGAAAGTGACTTTGAACGGGTCTTGGTTGTTGATGTCAGACAGGCTGGTCTGAGTATTTCAGAAACTGCTGATCTACTGGGATTTTCACACTCAACCATCTCTAGGGTTTACAGAGAATGGTCTGAAAAAGAGAAAATATCCAGTAGGTGGCAGTTCTGTGGGCGCAAATATCTTGCTGATGCCAGAGGTCAGGGGAGAATGACCAGACCGTATAAAAAGACAACAGTAATTCAAATAACCACTAGTTACAACAGAGGTATGCAGAAGAGCATCTCTGAACACACAACAAGTCCAAACTTGAGGCGGATGGGCTAATGCTGCAGAAAAACACACAGGGTGCCACTTCTGTCAACTAAGAACAGGAAACTGAGGCTACAGTTTGCACAGGCTCACCAAAATTGGACAATAGAAGATTGGAAAATGTTGCCTGCTCTAACAAATCTCCATTTCTGCTGCAACATTTGGATGGTAGGGTCAGAATTTAGAGTCAACAACATGAAAGCATGGATCCATCCTGCCTTGAGTCAATGTTCCAAGCTGGTGGTGATGGTGGTGTATTAGTGTGGGGGACATTTTCTTGGCACACTTTGGGCCATTAGTAATCGAGCATCGTGTCAACACCACAGCATACCCGAGTATCGTTGCTGACCATGTAATAAAGCGTGAATCATCTCAGACTGGTTTGTTGAACATGACAAGGAGTTTACTGTACTCAAATGGCCTCCACAGTCACAACACCTCATTCCAACAGAGCACTTTTGGGATGTGGTGAAATAGGAGATTCACATCATGGATACGCAGCCAACAAATCTGCAGCAACTGCATGATACTATCATGTCAATGTGGACCAAAATCTCTGAGGAATTTTCGAGTACCTTGTTGAATCTATGCCATGAAGGATTAAGGCAGTTCTGAAGGCAAAATGGTGTCCAACCTGGTACTAGTAAGGTGTACCTAATAAACTGGCCAGTGAGTGTATATTGTTATGCATTTATTTTTAGAAACGGGATCTGTTAGTCATGAGGATGCATTGTTCTGCAAAAGGCCTTATTGCATTGCATAACTCAAAAAGGATCGATAAGTTGCTCTGGATATTCTGAATACTCAGCCCCTCTATGAAATTTATTTTATTTATTTTTTTTTTTAGAAATGCCTTGTATGTGGCCATTTCTAAGTATAGGGATTTTCCTTGCCATTAATGCTTAAATAACATGTCCGTTTCCTTTAATAAAAAATATGGCTGCAATATTTATAAAACTACCAAGATCCATCGTTTTTTGTCATGACAATGCAATAGGGAAGACAATCTAATGGTGCCATTTTGCTGTAGCTTTTTTCCACATTTAAAAAGTATTGGCAAACAATTTACAAAAATCTGCAACAGAAACCAGGCCCATTGACTCTAATGATTAACTCAAAAACCATTAATTTAGGGAAAAAAAATAGTGCTCTGAGACAGACAGACAGACAGACAGACAAAATGGTTTACTCAGGATTTCTTTCAATGGTGAAAAAAAATTCTATAAAATCATATATAAAATATACATTGTGCATAATGCTGATATTTGGAAAAATGGCACTCTTGTGTGATGTATTACTTGACTATATTGTCTAGGAATGTAAGGATTCACTGTGAGCTGGTTGTAAATCGATTAAAATAAGTGACAATTAAAACCGGTAGAAATGTTGAATGAATCGCAATACAGAGGAGGCCCTGTGTTTACAGGCACAAATTCGCTGTACCTGCACATCAGCGGCAAGCAAGAGTTGGGGCGGCAGAGTAAAATGACAGTGATGAAGTGTGTTAGCCAAACACAAACTGTGCAAATACTGCAAAAAGACGTTTACTTGCACTAACAACAACGAATATGATTCACATAAACCATCAGCACAGTGAAAACTACTGTCACAAATGTCTATACGCAAAAAAATAAAAAAAAACTATTATTAAGTAATAGAAGTAATATTAATTATTCACCTTCATAATCATGTTCAACTCCTGTCTCTATCCTACTATAAAATAAGTCATTTTATGATCAGTTTTTTACGCCAGTGGCCAGTCCCCGGAGCAAAGGGCCTATTGATCATCTCTGTACATTCTGCTCTCTGGTTTAGGAAAGGCTTTCCTCTCCACACCATCTCAGTCCCCAGTGAAAGAGTTTTGTTCATCAGCAGGGGACATTGTAAATGTACAAAGACCTCAGCTTATGCTAGAAAACATAGATATGCTGACATTTCTTTTGAAAAATGTGAAATCCCAGCACAGTCACAGTTTTAGTTTGTTTGTATTAATGAATCTTCTTTAGTTTGTATTATTCTTTTTTGGTTTTAAAATAGCAATTTAGTTATGGCAGAAAATATATTATTTAGCAGAAAAATGTGCAGAATTCAAGGAAAAAAATGAAAGGGCTCTTCACCTTAAATTTTTTCAAATTATTTTGTTAAACAAAATATGACTAAATCGCATCGAATCGTGAGTCAGAAGAATCATTACATCCCTAATATTGTCATATCTTAAAAATAACACAAACAAAAAAAGTGAATGAAACACTCAAAGTCAGCTAGCATTGTTATTTATTACTGCTTATTTCATATAGCAGTGACAAATCTTCCGCAATTAATAAAATACATAAGTGAAGTTCAATGCAAACAAGCAGACATAACCAGACTTCTCATTACCTGAGGATTGAAGAAAACCATGGCCATAGTTTGCTTTAATCGGGTTGTCCGTACCGTCAGCTGCCGCCAATGACCCTCATAAGTCTCGGGACTGTACACTGCATATGGAGTTGTCCTGATCAAAACAACAACACACAAAACAGAAATAAACACATACGTGATGGTTTCCGGGTAATATAATTCTGCACTTAAAAAGTAAAACCCTTCATTTTACATATACAGTTAGATTTGGATGCACATCAGGCATAGTCAGCAGTGAATAATAGGAAACATTGACTCACCTGATGAACTGCTGGAAACACTGCACAACCCTCTTGGCCTCAGAACACACATTGGTGGTTTCTGATGGACTGACCACTGCACAGGATCCTCCTTTATACTTGCCCAAACGAAAGCCTACAGTCCTGTCCTCTCCGTCTGCTCCCACTCCAATCACAAACTCGCACTTATTCCTGTACCCCGTCTAAAAGCACAGGGTGTTTATTAGGCCTTTCTTTTCTTTCTTTTTTTTTTGGACATGGAAACATTATAACAGTTTCTAGTCAACATGTGTGCCAACTGCCAAGATGTTAATTACAGACCATGCATATAAGTATACTACAAAGCTTGCAGAACCCTAAATCTGTCAGAATGTGCTAAGAAAATACAACAGCCTTTTAAAGTGCCTTTAAGATAAGTAAAATACATTAAAAAAATCATGATTGAACCATGACAATTACTGCATTCTTTTTACATTCTACCCTTCTGTGTACCTGTGAATAACAGGTACACAGTGGTGATACCATACTACTATCTAATAATTTTGTTAAAGAGCCCGTATTATGGGTTTTTGAAAATGAACTTCCATGCAGTGTGTAGCACAGCACTAAGTGAATGAAAACATCCAGCTGAGGGTTAAATCTGAAAGTGCACCATGTTTAAAACTATTGATTCTTTAACGAAATAGCCGACTCAGAGTCGAATAAATTAATCAAGTTGGGTTCAGATGTTTTGGTTAAACGCGTCAACGTCAATACAGTACATGACCAAATATGAGGTGCCGGTTCCAGTAAAACGTGAACGCGCATTTCCCTTCAGACACTAGCGGAGCGTAGGGGATTTCGGAAACAAACGGTTAAAGTTCATTTTCACAACAACACCACAGTATAGCTGACCTGCTGTGTTTGCTCTGGTCGTTTTTCAGATTTTTGATACAATAACCTATGCTGCAGCACGGGATTCACCGGCTGTTTGCTTTTGAAGGAGCAGCAGAGACTATTATGGGGCTTTATATCAAGGGACTTTGTCAAGAACTTTCACAGTTCAAATGAACCAGTTTCTTTTTCCTCCGGATCATAACATTCAAGTGTAATTAAAATTGTTGCCTCATTTTGTGTAGTTTGCAAAATAGGTGTTTAATTGTGTGTTGTAAATTGTAATCCCTTATCTATTATAGATCAGTGCTTGTACAGTATCTCTCAGGTTAAATCTGTATGTGCTATTTCACATATTGCGTCCAAAACCACATTGAAAACGTGATGCGCGTTTCTTCCTTTACTGTGTTAATTGCGTTTCTGAACTCCCGATCCTCTGCTGTTTGTCTTTGCTATGACCACCATTAGCTGTTCAAACAGACATATGCAGTCAATTTTCAGAATAGTTCATTTTTTGCCAGTATATATTATTACTGAATGTGTGTCATTGTTATTACTTGGGGTTAGGTTTAAGAGTAGAGTAATATGCTGGTGTTTAACTGCATTAGACTCTCACATAAGCCCCTTTCACACAGTGATACCGGTAAATATCTGGAAAATTTCCGGAACGACTTTACCGGTATATTCAAAAAAGCGCTGTTCACACTGGCGAGGACGTTACGGAAATTTTCCGGAAAAGAGCATTCACACATCCATTCCAAAATACCGGTAAATTCTGACATCATTCACCACAAATGAGCTTTAAACGGCTGCGCTTGTATTTGTAAACATTTGACTAAATTACAAACTCTGTGGATGATCAATATTGTGAACAACTTTCGCAGGATCACTTTCGCATGTCGAGATGTTCATAATATGTGCGTGTGCAGACGCTCACAGGCACACGCAAAGCTTGAAGGTAAACAAACAACGGCTTATCATAAGCATCTCATCGATGATTATTTACACAGTTGGCATTAAGAAGAACATATAAACGTGATCTGACTAACTTCTAGCAGCTAAATGTGTCTGGAAAAATATTCAAAGGCTTTTATTCTCACAAACCGCGCGGACGTAAATGCGCCTGACTGTTGTGATTGGCTAAAGCAGACGTCTCACGTCAGCACATTCTAGACGTGCACGCGCTTATTACGGTAATCTTCCTTCTGCATTCACAGAGTGCAGCATTCCGGCAAATTGCCGGTAATGTTACAACTTCTCTTTCCCGAAAAGAGCCAGAACGAATTTACCGGTATTTTCAAAAAGGACCTGTTCACACATACAACCTACAACAAGAAAGGTCTGTATGTGTGAAAGGGGCTATAATCTGCTATTTCATAGCCGTGGTGGGCATTTCTCTCATGCTGAACCCAGTTGACCAATCACAACAGAATGGGTCATCGGACCAATCAGCACAGATTAGCTTCGCGCTAAGGAGGGGTTTGGGAACCGCTGAATCGCTTAACAAACCATATGGGATAAGTGGGTAAAAGTAAATGCATGTTATAAGACAATGAAAGTGTTTTTTGACCTTGCATGCATATCAGCCTGTTGTTGGACACCCTCAAAACCAGAATATGACCTTTTATAAGGCATAACAGGGGCTCTTTAAATATGTTAATTACAATTTATGTGAGCACATAGGTTTACCTGCAGGGGTGATGGTCGTATGGCTTCGAGTGGACAACACATTTTGTTGTGTTTTTCTTTTTGGACGAACAACCACGGAAGCATGGCTTTGTTGTTGTTGCCAATTTCTCTGAAAACAAATATGGAAGATAGTTAAAAGATTTACTAATCAACATAACTTGCCACTGGAAGCTTGTATTTAAATGTATAGATGGCAGTGATATAAAAAAAACTAAATTATTTATGAATATACAGCAGTAAACATTTAAAGTAGATCAAAACCTCTAATCAAAGTTATCCTAAAATGATTTATCAACACCCATTCCTGTCTTAGGACAGTATTAAAAAACTTTTTTGATCCATTTGTTGACTAAAATATGGTCAAATGCTGACTACGGTATATATCTTAAAGCCATTAAGTAACCTCATCAGAAAATACCTGGCGAGTTTTTGGAGAACACCTTCGACTTCTTTCTCTTTCATCATCAGCTGTTCTTCATAAGGCACTTTCCACAATGGGGTCACGGCATTGGCAATCTGTATACTGGGAGGCTCTTCCTCCTCCTTTTCTGCCTCCTGGCTCCCTGTATTTCGCTTGGCACCAGGTTGCCCGCTGTCCGCCTCCTCCTCCTGTTTCCTCTTCTTGAGGATGGGATCTGCTTTGGGCTTGGCCAGCCGAACACTCAGCACATTACTTTTCCACTGCATGCCATGCACTGCCTTCATGGCCTTGTCCCTTTCCTCCTGGTTCTTAAAAGTGACAAAGGCAAACTTTTGTCTGCCGAGCAGCTTGATTTTGTGAGGATTAATCCCATGCTTGTTGAGGAACTTCTTCAGGTCGTTAAATCCAATGTACTTGGGCAGGTTCTGGATCTCCACTTTATAGATCTCGGAGGTGAAGAGATCCTCCTTGATGTAGCGGTAAACATCCCCTGCTGCAGCCTGTCCTTCTGCTGCTTCTGGCTCATTCTCTTGGTTTTTCTTCTCTGTCGAGTCTTCTGGCTCGTTCTCTTGGATTTTCTCCTCCGTCAGTTCTTCTGGTTTCTCCTCTGCACTGGGTAATAAACCAGCTGGATCATTCTGGTCAACGGCAACATCTGTCATTTTGCTCTGCCAGAGGTAAATATTATCAGATTTAAAATCAGATTTAGGGGCTTTCTGCAAAGTGTCACATTTTAATTCACTTTTCACAACTCTTGAAATGCATAATCGTTATTATGCACAGCTTTATAAACATAATTCTGGAATATGGAATTTTGAAGTCTGTGACATTATTTTTCTTTTAAATGGGTGTTTTTGTGTAGCAGTTTTGCTGTGTAATTATGCTTTTATGACATGAAAATAAGGCATTTCACCAACTGACTAATTACCTTTATCATCCTATTCAAGTGAAATGGATGTTGCTTTAATTGTAATATTAAACGGAAATTCATGCAGACTGAAGTAAAAAAAGTCAAAGTTTGTCTCTGTCTTGCTTTTAATTTTCCTCAGAAAATGGTCCGTTTACACACAGAAATCAGTCTAGTAACAGATTACCTGAAGTTTCGACACTCAACCATCATGTAGGCTACTTTAGGAGTCACAGTGCACCACATCTGATACATACTGACAAATTTTTCCCAAAATTGTTGTCTACAGGCAGACACACCAAACCCATACACCTAACATTACTGAGCCTAGGCATAAAACCCTGATAAAATGCCTGATAAAAAAAAATGTCATTTGGACTTGTAGATTTTCGCATCTGATTGTGAACTCTTGATTTAAACTTAACATTTTAATTCGTACACAGCAAGACCTCTGAAAACACAAACTATTAGTTAACAGGTACAGATGCTAATATATACAAATTCCTTGTGCATATGCATGATATAACGTTTAAAAAGTTAACTGGCATAAAATGTCATAATGGACAGTTTTAGATTAAAAAACTGAGCATATAATATTTTCAAGACAATTCAGTGCAAATAAAATGGCAAGTTATTTCCGAGATTCCTTCGCATTGTCTGAACAAACCTGCTTTGTAAAAATCACTCCTTATCATTCAGTGTTCTTCACTATGAACAAGAAGAAGCTTTATAGCCACTATGCACTTATGCATGCATGCAAGCTGCCATCTTTAACAGGGAAACACGTGTCAAAAGCAGCGTATTGGGAAGCACAGGTCAAGTTTTTTAAAACACTACTAAAATAATAAAGTAGTTCTAAGAATTGTTTTAAATATAAAAATTAAATGTAGACATCAAACGTACGTAAACTGTATTTCATTTTAAACATTTAATGTTATCTTATTCCACAGTAGAACTAAAATTTAATATGTTGCGAAAGACCCGGGACTTTTATTTTGAAGTGCAATTGAACTGTCGAAAGTAAGTGCCGAGTCTTCACTCTGACGGAGCAAGAAGTTTCTACTGCTGAAGAGGCTCGACAGTCAGAAGCAAGCACAAATGACTAACAACTGCAGGTAAACATTACAGAATTGTCTGTAAAATGATAACGAGGAGATAAACACACCGTGAGCAAATAATTAATTGAGAGGACAAGCACCTTCGGCTGTAGCTCTCTTGCTCGCTGCTATTCGGACCGAAGACAGCACGGAAAGTGGCTTTTATACACAGTCGGTGCGGTAGGACTTAAACCGAACTTTAGTGATGGAGGACCCAACAGTACCGGAAACTGGGATTTAATTTGAATAAAGACTATCAGCTTGATTACAGCGGTCGTGTGAGGCTGTCTGGACTGAAGACGGGAGACGTGTCACTGATAAAGCGGCTGAAGTTAAAGCCCCAGCGCGGACATCCAGTCATCACTCCGGTCCGCCCCAGTGCAAGAGTCAATCCATCACATAACCTTCACCTGTAGGATATTTATTTACTTTTGGCTTAATAACACTCCCTAACACTTCACTTGTGTGGAGAGGAGCCGTTTGATCACCATGGGTTCGTTGTTTCGGAGTGAGGAGATGTGTCTGGCCCAGCTCTTCCTGCAGTCCGGCTCCGCGTATGACTGCATCAGTGAACTCGGAGAGCTCGGCCTGGTGGAGTTCAGAGATGTGAGTCAAACCTGTTGTTCATATATTTCTATTTTTAAACGCTGTTAAACTTGTGTTGAGTTTACAGTCTCCCACTCATCTGTTTTGGTCAAATAGCTACTGTTTAATAACACCAACAAGTTTTTTTAGACCATAACTTAACAGAACGTATTGTTATTATTGTGGTGTGGTGCCTACATTTAATTTTGAATAAATATTTTCCCCTTCCACAAATGTCATTCGTATCAGTATATAAAATGATCCTTAAATATTTTATCATTGTTCTATTGTGTTTTAATGTTATTTGTTTAATAATACATGTAATTATGTTTAGTTGTATTGCTTGTTTATTTATTGTTCTTCTTGTTTAATGTATGCAGTGCTATGAAAGTATTGTATTCAGTTTATTGATTATATAGAATCTGTAGAATATTCTAGTCATGCTACATGTTGTTATTGATTGTGTGAATACAGAATGTGCTTTTATAAGATAATAATAATAGCATTACACTTTTTTCAGCTCAATCCCAGTGTGAACTCTTTTCAGCGCAAGTTTGTCAATGAAATCAAGAGATGTGAAGAGATGGAGAGAATTCTGGGTAAAAGCTTTGCTCTTTAAATCTTTATCTAATAAGGGCATCATTTAGCTTGTGAAGGGTCTGAATAATTTCTGAACATAATAATTGTTCATAATTAAGTTATAACCAAAGAACAGTAGTAGTATAGAAAAATTAAGCAAAGTTGAAATATACATATCTATGAATGAAGTATTTGAAGTGGTAAACAATTACATTTTTTTTGTATAGTTAGAAATATTGAATTGAGTTTATTTATAAAATGATATGTGTTATGACATGAGGGAACTTTATCACAGACATTGATAGTAAATCAAAATCATGAACTCTAAGTGTACTTGCATAACAGGATATCTTCTGAGGGAAATTAAAAAAGAAGACATCCCACTGCCAGAAGGGGAGGTGAACCCTGCTGCACCATTACCCAAACATGTGATGGTCATAATGGTGAGATCAGTGCAACACTGCTCATTTGTTTAGCCTGCGTGTGATTAGTTGATCTTTCAGACACATTCAAATATCTTTTATGGTTGCCAAGTTATTTTAGTTTTTTTTTTTATACCACTCTTCTGTTTTTTTTCCCTCTTGGTTTTTATGGAATATAAGATATAGATTTGGGATATTTGAAAATGATTTCAATATAAATAGTAGAATTATTTTACTTATTTTACAGTATAATTATATACATTTTAATTAAGATGTCTTTTGAAAAATTACACTGATTAGAATGTTTGACAATCAGAAAATATTTGCATGCTGAATTGCTATTTATCTCCTCTGTAAACCGTTTAGCCAGCCTTTTAAAAGGGGTGGTTCTTTCTTTTTTCTAAAAAGATAGACCTTTTTTACATTTATTTGCCTCATTTTTCTATTCAGTTATGCATTTTAGAGACATTTTAAGAACTAATCTTTGCTGAATCTTAAACTCTTAAAGCCTTCTTCTATCTATAATTTTCTCAATTTATGATGGCATAGCAGTCAAAAATGTGATAAATGAGCTCCTATAGGGGTCAAATTCTGGACTTTGTCAGTGGGCCACCGAACAACTCGACGTCCCCCCCATCTACACCCACCCCCCACACCCCCACCGTCTACAAGTCTGCCATTGCATATCAATCAGCTGGTGTTATCTATTTTTTTCCATTACTGTAAAGTTGACGTCTCATTTTGCAGTTTCATCATAGTGGATCTATTTCAGGAACAAATTTTCCATTGTCACTGCACTGGTGACAGCATTGATATCGCTGCTGATAATCATCGCTGACTGAAGCATGTATGTTTTGTATAGGAGCAGCTTCAGAGACTGGAACTCGAACTGGGTGAAGTCACCAGGAATAAGGAGAAGCTCCAGAAAAACCTTCTAGAGCTGACTGAATACACACACATGCTCCGCATCACTCGCAACTTTGTGCATCGCGGCACAGAGGTGGGTCATGTGATCCCTTCTCACATGTTGGCAGCTTTGGTTTGAATGGATCTTTTTTTTTTTTTTTTTACACAAAAGAAAAGGGGCATGTCTGACTGCTGAAAGGACTGGCTTAGTGCAGTCTGCTGTTTGGCTTGATCATGTTTATCCTCTAGTGTGAAAAGGAATTCATCCCTAGGCTGTAGGACTGTGGGAATCATGCAGGTGATTTAGAGTCACCTGATTGTCCAGAATTTTGAGAGCAGCCACCCGTGATCAAAAATATTAAGCTTAACACTTGACCTCTTCTTTTTGATCTTTTTGAAGCTGTGCGTGCGTGCATGCGTGCGTGCGTGCGTGTGTGTGTGCGTGTGTGCGTGCGTGTGTGTGTGTGTGTGTGTGTGTGTTGGGGGTTAAGTTATTACTCATATCGTGGGGACAAAAAGTGGTAAGACCTTAATTTTTGTGGAACTTGTTTTTATCTTGGTGAAAAGAGCAGAATGTTAAGCTTAATAAAATTGTTAATTTATGCATTCTTTCATTAATATCATAAATTAAATATTGTAATTAATAAATATATTTGGTGCATGCTGTGTATAGTGGTGTGCAGGGCTGGGCGATATGGCAAAAATGCAATCTCGATAACTATTTTCCATATTGAACAATAACCATATACATATTGATATCAGTTGTTCATGCTTCCAGATTTAACAGTACACCAACAATGACTAAAGCCATAAAAATTTGAGTCCATTAAATGGCCTAACATTTTCGGCTGATAAATTTTCCATGGCTGAAAGTTTGGTGCATCTTTAATATCAACACACTTTTAGATTCCCAATGTTGCACATTTCTGCTTTGTGATTGGCTCTGAGATCAATACAGAGTAAAAAAGTCATTGTCATTATGTGGTCTGTATTGTCTCTCCAATGTTACAGTTTTAAGCCGGTTGTAACATTGTTATTGACACAAATTTTAAACACGATTCGATATAATATCGTTTATCGGCCCAACCCTAGCGGTGTGGTTGGAATATACACCACTTGAACAGTGTAAAAATAAGTTTGTCTGTGAAAGGTCCCAATAAAACATAAAAACATGGACCTGCTTATGTGTATATCTTATCCCCTGCTTGGTTTTTGCTTGTGTGGGAGCAGAGAGAGTCAACACAGGGCCAGTATGAAGAATTCCCCTTTCTAGAGAAAGAACCCATGATGGACTACACCAGCATGCAGAGGCTTGGAGCCAAGCTTGGGTGAGCAGTGTTTAAAACATTAACCTTTGTCATGACCTTTGACCTTAATTTTGAACGCTTTTTGCTGATGTCGGTCCACATGTGGATATGTTTCCCCCTTTTGCAAAGATCTATTTTTGACTTGATTATGATAGAGCAGTTGATATTGACAAGAAGTGAAGTTGGAGAGAAACGTGGGGGTGGGATCAGGATGGGTTTGTGAGTTGGGATTCACATTCTAGATGTCTGAAGAGCAGCTGTGCTACAAAAAAAGTTTTTTATTTTATTTATTTATTTTTTTTACTTTAGGTCTCTTTTCAATTATGTGTATTCTCACTCTCATTAGCAAATTAGTCTATTTTTAGGTTAGTCATAGTTGATAATATTGACACATAAGCAGAAATTAGTAGCATAGAGTGACGTTTGTTAGCTTTTTTACACTCATGAGCTCAGTAAATGTCTGACATCCTGTTTTATAAATGCATGTGCATGCAAGACCTTGGGTTTTATTGACTATTGTAAAATCACTCTTTTGTTGCTCAGGTTCATTTCTGGCCTCATCCAGAGTGTGAAAATCGAGGCATTTGAGCGAATGCTCTGGAGAGTATGTAAGGGCTACACTATCCTCAGCTACTCTGAGGTAGATGAGCTTCTGGATGACCCTGATTCGGTGAGTCAAGCATAGTTTGATAATTTTGTTTAATGCTTATAGGTCTCCAAAATATATATTAATAAAGATTCTGTCTGTTTTTGTCAGGGTGAGCCGACTAGGAGTGTGGTGTTCCTCATCTCTTACTGGGGAGAACAGATTGGACAGAAAGTGAAAAAGATATGTGATTGGTACGTTTTTCTTCATTAATTTCTACATGTGATGTTTCTGTTAATCAGTCTAGTTGAAAGGTCTTTGTTTATTGAGCTGTCAGAGATATACAGCTGTTAATTACCAATGCACTAACCGATTGCACCACACAGATCGTTAGACAAGGAGCAGCTACCTTATAAAGATTAAGAATAGATGCCTCATGTTACAGGAAATATTGCCAAACTCGATGAAATTAGCCCTAATGTTGGTAAACCAAACTTTTATAAATTCTTCAACCGGTGGGACCAGATTGTTTTTACCCGTTGTACAATCAGTTCGAGAGATTCTCCAGGGTGACATACCACTTTTTAATACTTGGAATGGTGAAGATTACCTCCCACACATTTACATTTGTAAAAGCACTTTAACTATGAAGCTTGTTTTATAGGATTGTGTTGGTTTTAATTCTGTGAGGAATTTATTTCATTCATTTCATTCTTTTGAAGGGATGTTTAACACTGTTTATCTAAATCCTGTTGTAGAGCTTTGAGCAAACATAAATTGTAAAACCTTAATATAATCTGTGTCTCCAGTATATGTTCTCTCAATAAAATGAAAGAAATTAAAATAATAAATTAAATAAAAATGTTCATAGAAGCTGGCATCGCACTAAACACAAACAACAGGAAGCTTTTTGACTTTCATTCCTTTTTAATTTTATTGTTTTTGAAAATGTATAATCTTTACTGTATTTTTAAGTTAAAATTGCTGATCAGAAACTTTTGTGTCTGTAGCTACCACTGTCACCTGTACCCATACCCCAACAGTAATGAGGAGAGGACCGATGTGGTGGAGGGCCTCCGAACACGCATTCAGGACTTGCACACAGTGAGTCAAGATGTTTTGCACTAATCAGTGCACTTTGCTCTTGTTCAATTTTTTTTATCTTTTTTTTGGTTTTACACTGTGAATCACCAATGTGGGTGAAAGTGTGATCTCACTATTCGATGCATTATACAGATTCCTGTCAACTGGCACCATTACAAATGTTAGAATTGTTGCACATATTTTGCTTGCTTTAAGTAAATTGCATTTCATGAGTTGCTATGGATTGTAATTCATAGCATATTAAAGAAAAAAAAAACTACTAAAACTTGTATTCTATAAAAACTTTGGTGTTCTTTCATATAAATATACTCGTAAAAATTCAAATATACTTGTGTAAAGTTACCTTACAAATTACAAATAACCTATAATAACACTTTATCATAAGAAATATGATAAATTATTTTGTTGCATGAAGAATTGAAGTGTCCTGCATCATATTAAATGATGTGCTGTAATTGCGTTCTGTCTGTTTTTAACATGAGGTTGCTTTAGATGGTCTAAAATGATTGAACATAAATAATTGTTAGTATATGGTTTTGGATTGGCTTCTGTCTCCTGCAGTCTTACCTAACAAGTTGAAGATAGTCGTGCAGTGATGGAATGTAGGGGGCCATGTTTGGTTTGAGGGCATTTGAGCTTGCTTGTGATTTCTTGAGGAGAGAGAAAGAAAATTGTGTTAGTGGCCCAGCTTAGCACATGATGTTCATGAGGTCTAGGCTGCGGATACGTTTCTCACAGACCACAGGCACCACTGAATCATGTGTGTATGATACCTCACACACATTGTTTTCTTTTAAGTGGGAAAAATGTCTTTTTTACATTCATCCGAGCACACAGTTCACAGACCAGAGCAAAGGAAAAACCATATATGGTTGCTGGTTTTATATTGTTGACTTTCTACTTTGAATAATTATTTATAGCATTTAAAAAAATGTATAATTAATCATATTAAAATTTAGAACTTAAAAAAAATTGAACCTGAGAGATTAAAGACTCGCAAATAAATTTGTGATTTCAGAAAAAAACATAAGTTATTTAAAAAAGCTATAAGAAGATTGGTTTCTTTTGGTTATCATCACCACAGCAGTAAGAGCTATCTGTGTTTATAAGGATGTCTGTTTAGTGTAGCATTTATGTTGTAAAAAGCAATGGTCCGAGATCTCAGCCTTGTGGTACTCTATAATAAATCTGTGGTCGTTATTGGTCCTCTTCATTTACCATTGTTTTTAAATAAGAGACTTTATTACAGCCATCTTAGAGGTACATAATATCCTAATAGTGACGATGATTTTATTATATTGGGAAAAGGTTCTAAGACTTCCAGGTACATCCTCTTTATTATCTTGATAAGAATTAAATGTGTGTGAATATTAGTCAATAGGCATAAATTTCATTTAACAGTAGGGGGACAATAAATATATAAAATTTTCTCATGAGCAATTTTTAAAGGGGACACAAATAATAGTCATGTCGTACATATATAAATGTACCTGGATACAGTGCCGAAAAAGTATCCAAAAAGTATTCATAGTGCTTCACTTTTCCACATTTTTTTATGTTACAGCTTTATTCCAAAATGTATTCAATTAAGTTATTTCCTTAAAATTCTACACACAATACCCCATAATGCCAATGTTAAAAGATGTTTTGAAATTGTTGCAAATTTATTAAAAGTAAAAAACCTGAAAAATCACATGAACATAAGTATTCAGAGCCTTTGCGCAATACTTTGTTGATGCGCCTTTGGCAGCAATTACAGCCTTAAGTCTTTTTGAATATGATGTCACAAGCTTGGCAAACCTGTCTTTGGGAATTTTTGCCCATTTCTCTTTGCAGTACCTCTCAAGCTCTATCAGGTTGGATGGGAAGTGTTGGTGTACAGCCATTTTCAGATCTCTCCAGAGATGTTCAATAGGATTAGATCTGGGCTCTAGCTGGGCCACTCAAGGACATTAACTGAGTTGTTGTGAAGCCACTCCATTGATATTTTGGCGGTGTGCTTTGGGTTAATGTCCTGCTGGAAATAGGTCAAGAGCACTCTAAGGCAGGTTTTCATTTAGGATGTCTCTGTACATTGCTGCATTCATTTTTCTCTCTATCTTGACTAGTCTTTCAGTTCCTGCTACTGAAAAACATCCCAACAGCATGAGGCTGCCACCACCATGCTTTATTGTAGGGATGGTATTAGCCTGTTGACAAGCGGTGCCTGGTTTTCTCCAAACGTTAAGCCTGGCATTCACTTCAAAGAGTTAAATTGTAGTCTCATTAGACCAGAGAATTTTGTTTCTTATGGTCTGAGAGTCCTTCAGATGCCTTTTGGCAAATTCCAGGTGGGGAGTGACTTCCATCTGGCCACTCTACCATACAGGCCTGATTGGTGGAAAAATTGAAGCACTATGAATACTTTTCGGATGCACTGTATGTCTAGAAATGTCCACGTTAATTAAGACACTCAAGAACCGAATAGAAATTGATTATGCAAAAAATACAATAGGGTCAGTTCGTTTGTAGCACAGTGTTAAGCAAATGCACAGCAAAACAGTGTTAACTGTGGCCGTTAATGTTAAGTTAACATCATCCCAAGTCTTCAGAAATAAAAAGGAAAGTCTTTGGCATGATAGTTGCAGAGCATTATGCAACAATCTATTGTCAAAAAGCTAACGTTAACTAGATAAGTAAAATTTTAATATGCTAATATAGCAGTTTTATGGAAAATGACATCGGTAATCAGCATTTTTGCCGCAACTAAATTAATGAATGAGTCTGCATCAACTACATTAAAGAGAACCACTTTATTTACAGTGCCCCCCCTCCCCCTTTTCGTTTACCTTTTCGTCTATACCTTTCGTTTGTACCTGCATCTCATTTTAACACATTAGGTTTACACTAAACTTAATACAAGACCATTTTATTTTTGACACTTAAAGTTATATACAGTGTGGTTTAGATGAGACTACATTTAAAGCTGTTGTTGAAATGAATTGCTTTGCCATAGGTTCTACACCGTACTGAGGATTACCTGAGGCAAGTGTTGATCAAGGCCTCAGAGTCTGTGTACATTTGGGTGATCCAGGTGAAGAAAATGAAAGCTATATACCACATCCTCAACCTCTGCAGCTTTGACGTCACAAACAAGTGCCTTATAGCTGAGGTGTGGTGTCCTGTCAATGATCTGCCCGCGCTTCGGAGAGCACTAGAAGATGGATCGGTAAGCATCCGCATATTACTTCAGATTCTCTATAAAGTTACATATTCCCTAATTTGGCTATTATATTTGTGTTGTTTTGTCCCTTAGAGAAAAAGTGGAGCCACAGTTCCCTCATTTGTCAATCGTATCCCAAGCAGTGACACTCCACCGACCCTCATACGCACCAACAAGTTTACCTCAGGCTTTCAGAATATAGTAGATGCCTATGGTGTGAGCAGCTATAGAGAGGTCAACCCAGGTAAGGACCAGCTTTTCTAACTCTGTGTACATTTAAATTGACTTCATGTAGAAATCTTTCATGTTCACTTGGGTTGTCAAAAAAGAATAATTGCAAATATTCATAGAAATAAAAAACAAAATTAAAAGCACATTTGAATGCAAAATTTGCATCAAATGCATTAAATTTGGTAATCTCAAATTAAGGCCTTAATAGGCTTGAATTTGGTAAACAAAGTCTTGAATTTCGTTACAAAGGTCTTATTTTATTCATTTATTTTTTGACTTTCCTAGGATTAAGTTCATACCATAACAAAATTAACTGTTACTAATGTAGGCTAATAAAACTTCATGCAGCGTACTGTTGAGTGCACCTCACGCTCCACGTACTAGCACAAAGTGGGAAAACGTGTGCACCTGTTACTATGGTTGCTTGAGGTGAGGTACAGTCGCTAGTCTAGTTTGTCGGCTAAAATGGGAAAGTGTCGCGGTGGCCATGGAATCCGAACATCCTACTGCTGTTGACGCTGGAAATCTTTTAAGCTAACGTTAGCGACAATGGGTGGTACGACCCTGGACTCCCATATGGGGGGTTGCCAAACACACCACCTGTAGTACTGCTTGACAGCGCCAATCACCTATTGTGCAGTTCTCTGCCGGAAACCTCTTCGGTTACTGAAACAGCTTTGGCTATCAGTAATGTTTAAATTTCTACATTAAAAGAATGTCAGTTTCTTTTTCTTCCAGTTTTATGGTGGTCGATAACAAAGTTTTTGATGCCCTACTGCCACCTCTTTTTCTGGTTGGTGACATCACCAAACAATCATTGATCTGACACGAGAAACTTGCTTGATTAAAAGATGACTGAGGGATATATATATTTAGAGAGTGAGAGAGAAAGAGAGAGAGAGAGACAGTGAGAGAGACACTGAGACAGTGAGAGAGAGAGAGAGAGAGAGAGAGAGAGAGAGAGAGAGAGAGAGAGAATGACAGAGAATTTACTGTAGTAAAGGCTAAAGTATAGAAATTAATGAATTCATTAATGAAAAGTTGTAAATATATATACAATATAATGCTTATTGCAAAGTATTTCCCTTTACTATAATTTTTTTTTTATAGTGTTTCAATTGTGTAACTCCTGGTTTTATTGGATTTTTTGTTTTTGCTGTTATATACTATAATTTGTTTCTGTTTGGTACATCATATTATTTACATTATTTTTTATATTTTTACATTATTATATTTTTATACATATTATTTATATGTTTCTTTCACAGTTTTATTGATTACTAAGATCTGATTGACTTGGATTTAAGTTGCTTCAATTTAAAAATTTAAATTGTAAAAATAGCTTAGATGTAGCTTAGCTACTTTTGCCAAGTAGGTTTAAGCTTAGCTTGCTACATTTCCAAGAGGGTACCTTTTAGTGTAGTTAAACTACATTTTAAGTAGAGTAGCTAATAGCTTAGCTCACTACATTTTTCTAGTAGCTTGCCCAACACTGCCACCACAGCCAAGGAACATCCTATCCTACTATGGCTCAACACCAACTCTGCAGGCAGATGTGATGTGGGTCCTTAAAACTATGTCTGAGCACCACTCTTACACATCGAATAAGAACATTACAGAGCTTCCTGACTCTGAGGTTGCAGTTACATTCTTGTGCGGAAGCAACAAAACTGAATATATTACTTAATTTAGATCCTTTTATAACTAAAGAACCGACTGACCAGGTCAATAAAACCAATGGGTATGTGGTCATGTTTGACCTTCAGTTAGACCTTCATATTCATTACCGTGTGGACGACCACACTGTTGTGTATGTATTAAATATAACTAATAATTGAAATAAAATGCTTTATTTAATTCAAGTAGCCCACTTGTACATAATTATTTTCTAGGGTTTAAAATTTATACAGATTTGACATTTTTCCCTCATACTTCTGTTGGAATGGGTACGAAGTTGGCATTGGATTTAATTTAAAATGGTATTAAAAAGGTCTTAAATAGCCTTGAATTTCATTTGGAGGATCCTGGGGATACCCTGTATGCTACTAATCACTATGTTTTTGAAAATTATAATGTAGATGTATTGACTCTGAGCAGCTTGATTCTGAATGGCTGTTTTCTATTTCGAGTTTTAGTTGGTGGCACAAACAGTACGCTGTCTGTTGAAACGTGCTTTTTTGATGTCCTCAGTTTAACATGATTCCTAATTTCCCTTAAATATATATATTTTAAAAACAATTGTTTAAAACATTATGCACTAGGGCAGTGCAGTTAATCAAAAAATGGATTTTGTTTATGATTTTGGCTTCTAACCTTTATGAAAATTATTAATCAAGATAAAACGATTATTGCATCATATACCGCGCCATTACCAGTTGGACACATTTGTTGCTCTGCAAAGCTGTTTCACACGAAAATGACTAAAAGCATGTACTGTAATGTAACTTTTGCAGCGCGAGATGCGCATCGTTAATGGTTCGACTCATGTTTTCGAATCATAAATTATGAGACCGCATGCCGCAGCTGTGCACACTGCACTCAGTCCCACAACTTTCTTACACTCAAAGACTCTCAAATCCCCTGACAAAAAAGTCTAGTGGGTGGGAATAGGATTTTTACAGTGTCTGCTATAATGTTAATGTTGTTTTTGTTGTGTTTACATGGATGAATATGGCCACTGTATAAATGCACAGTAAAGTTACGATCTTATTGTCACATTAGATCGTTATGATAACATGATGTTAACCTTCAGTGATTTCCTGTAGATAAATACCAAAATATAACACAACTGGAATCACTACAGCAGTCACGATCGTCTGATCTCATATGAAGCAAGAGATCACGATGACATATGATGAGGTGTGCAGGTGCTGTAGTGCTGTCCCAATTCTTAGGGGTACATTTTTAAGCCCTTTCCGTCCACATTCGGTTTCAAGGGCCAAGGGAAAGGGGAACAAAAATAGAACTGGGACTGGGCCTAAATTACGACAGGATTTTTGTTTTAGGTGAAGAATAAGACTTTAAGTATTGACTTTATTAAAATGTAAATATTATTTCGCTAATATTTAAAGAAGAAATGTATGTTATTGTATGTTTAGATAATCAGGTTTGTTTTTTTATCACACCTTTTCACAGCTCCATATACAATCATCACCTTTCCCTTCCTGTTTGCGGTGATGTTTGGAGACCTTGGTCATGGCATTATCATGGCTCTGTTTGCTCTGTGGATGGTTCTCTATGAGAACGACCGCAAATTGAAGAAAACCAGGAATGAGGTACAGCTTGCCTTTATGATGTGGTTGCATACTTTTGGCTTTGTTTTATTTTGCATACTTTTTTTTTAACAGTTTGATTTTACTTTGTGTTTATTTGTTTAGATCTGGAACATTTTTTTCGAAGGCCGCTACATCATCCTGCTGATGGGAGTATTTTCAGTCTACACTGGATTAATATACAATGACTGCTTCTCCAAATCACTCAATATATTCGGCTCGGGCTGGAATGTCAGTGCCATGTTTGAGAATGGAGACTGGACGTGAGTGTGCAACAGATAATATATAATATGCTGAATTTCATTCATTTTTAAAATTGTAAAGAGACAACCTTCCGTGTGTCTGTGGTTATTGATGAATTTAAGGTTTAAAAAAAATAGCACATTTCACAATTTAATCTTAACAGTGTGCTGTTATTTTTATCTTTCTTCAAGGTTGTCCACAGTAAACTCAAATAAGTTACTTGCACTGGATCCAAACATCACAGGAGTTTTTAAAGGGCCTTATCCACTGGGCATTGACCCGGTAGGTTCCATGACTTTGTTTTATTACTGTTTACTGTTACTCTGTTAAAACTTTATGAAAGTACAATACAATGTACATAAGCCAAACCTTAAAAAGATCCTAAATGCAGGCCATTTCCTGAACTAAGAATGCGTCGAGTCACTTTATTTTAACCTTAGCTGAATAAAAGTAATTCGCTTTGTTATGTTGTTCTTTGTAGATCTGGAACCTGGCATCAAACCGTCTCACCTTCCTAAACTCCTATAAGATGAAGATGTCTGTGATTGTAGGAATAATCCACATGACGTTTGGAGTCGTCCTTGGCATTTTCAATCACTTGTGAGTCTTACATTTTTTAATAGTTCAATATAAGATTTAATGACTTCTAACTCTTCAAATGTTTTTTTTTTTTTTTTTTTTGCGCAGGCACTTCAGACGGACAATCAATGTGTACCTGATTTTTCTTCCCGAGCTGCTCTTTCTGCTGTGTCTCTTCGGTTATCTGGTGTTCATGATCATCTATAAGTGGCTCTTCTTCACAGTCAGAGATTCTCAGACAGCTCCCAGCATCCTCATCCACTTTATCAACATGTTCCTGATGATGGGCGACTCTGGCCGACCACTCTATCCAGGACAGGTGAGAGTCAAGCAATCATGATGAACAGAATGCTTCATTTCTATGCTTGTTTTTATTTATTTATTCTGTTTCCTATAGGCTGGATTTCAAGTGTTCTTGGTGATCGTTGCTGTGTTTTCTGTGCCTGTGTTATTATTTGGTAAACCCCTCTACATCTACTGGCAACACAAGGGCAGAGACCGCCTGAGCATGTACAGGGTGAGGATTCTCTTGTTTGTAGTAATCAGACCCCTCTAGTTTTTCACAATTCCGCTATCGCGGAAAATTTAAATAATCTCATAAAACATCCAATTCCAAACCATATAATCAAAACATACTTATTTTAGTTTGCAATGAATTGTTTTACGTGACTTATAGAGGTTGCATACGCAACGCACATGATGTATTTAAGTGTCTCTCGAAAAATGACGTCTCATGTTCGCCCTCACAATCATCACATTACGTGAGAGTGGGGGAATTGTTTTGCAGCCTGTGCAGTTAGCAGATGCAGATGAAGACTGAAGGATTTACATATGATGTTTATGCAAAGATTGGAAAAGGCATCCTGTGGCGCGAATTAGGTGTTTTGTGCATTTGACTCGCTACAGACTGCCAAATAAAGTGTGAGCAAACATCTAACAAACAGATGTTTCGTTTAACTTTTTCTCTGCCGTTAATGCGAGAAAACGCTTCCCTACCATTGGCAAGTTTTACAATAATCCATGTTTTAGGTGTATTACGGTAGGGGAAGACCTAACATATGTCCTGCATGACGTACCGGATGTCAGATGCTCCGGCAAGTGAAATCTGAGAGAAACTAAGATCGTGGATAAAAATAAACCTTCCTTTGGCTTAAAGGTGCAGTAGGTGATTGTCTTCAGAATAAAAAATGATTGTGCTGGTTGAAAGTCTCTTCACAGTCCAATAGTAATGATTAAAGTAAATGATCTAAATGACTTTATATGTATTTTTTTATTCTGGGTAAGACATAAAAATAAAAAATGTTCATTCAATTAAATAGAGTCTGACCGACATCTCTCATAATTCCGATAAGTAACTCAAACTGTCAGTCAACAAATGCAGATTTGGGCTTTTGCACATCTCTGTTCACGCTTATCCGCCATAAGTGCGTCTAGCTGAGCGACACGTGTACGCGAGACTGTCAGTTGCGGCAAAAATCAAATGCTAAATTGAAACTTTTTAAAGTCCTGAATCAGTGTTTGAGTTACTTTTGCACGCTGGAGGAAGGACGACACCACACCATGGCTGAAGTATTTCTGTTAGAGAGGTAATGTTCTGTTTTAAAACTATATTAGTCACACAGAGCTGATGTAGAAATTATTGTGTTATGAATGGGTTCTATGCACAGACGTGTTGTTCAGCCACTGAAATCTCCCGGTGGAAGCTAGATATGACTATTTTTAGTTTCATAAGGGAGCTTTTACAGCATTGATGATGTAGATTTAAAACGGTATTCAGTTTAACAACAAAACATCAGCAAATAACTCTATTCCGCCTCATCTGCTTGCTAAGCTGAAGTTGCTTTTATATTCACATTGGGTCATTTCTGAACAAGGACAGCCTGTGACGCGCTCACGATATTGTTTACTGCTACTCTGAATATTCAGTCTGAAATAGCATGGAAGTGTGGCTTAGTGAAATTTCTGCACGCTGCCCGGCCAACCACTACATACACTTCTAACAGGCGAATGAACTGGGTTGTCTGCTGTTGTGTTGCGGTGGGCACGCTGTTGATTTCAAGAGGCGTGGCTTTGAAACACGGTCCCTCCCTGCCATCCAAAGCTAATATGCTATCCGATTTTCATTTTGGCAGATCACCTACTGCACCTTTAAAGGCTGATTTATACTTCTGCGTCAAGCGCATGCGTATGCTCCGCCACAGCCTACGTGTGGTCGCATAGTCCTCACTGTGGCCGTTGATGACTCTATCGGGCACCTATAAAAAAAATTGCCACGCAAGCCCGATTATTTAAAAAAAAATTTTAAATCCTTACTCTGAATGCCATATTTTTGCTTACTAGCCAATTTTATTTATTTATTTGACCATTATTTTAAGTATTTGGATTATTTAAAAAAAACATTTAAAGTTTTTTGAATTACTTAAATTATTGTGTTGTATGTCTTAAAACTTTTTTGAACAGGTCTTAATTTTCTTTTGTCCATGTAAAGCTACCCAATCTGGCCAACACCTATACAATTACCAATACATCTCAATAAAACTTTAACATTTTTATTTAAACATTTATTTATCAAAGTGGTGTAATTGTTTTCCTCACAATAACATTTGTTTAAGTTGTTTAAGTTTTCTATGCATTTACTGATGAGGACGCTGACCTGGACAGATTGTTGTGCATAGATTTAGTTTATTATAGTTTTTAAAACTTTTAAAACATTTCTTTTTTTATTTTAAATAAAGTTGAAATAAATATGTTGAGTATATAATATAAGTAAAGTTTGCTTTTTTTTTTTTTTTAAATAAAAATAATATTTAAAATATTTTGTTAAGAAAGATCTTTAGTAATTATTTTATTTATTTATAATTAAATTATTATTGTATTATTAAATGTATTAAATTAGAAAATTGATTGTGCAAAAAAGAATTCTTTTTCATCTGGGCCATTTGAAAAATTTCTGTCAAAAAATTTCTGTCAAAAAATTTCTGTCCCTACTGTCAAAAAAGTAGAGGCAAAAAAGGAATGCAATCCCACATTTTGCCTCCTGGTGTCACTTATAGGACAGCAGGAATATTGCCCCTTCATTGGTTAGTGATGTAAATACAATAATAAATGTTTTATCATACTTTTAATAAAACCTCCCACACTGATTCAGTATTTAAAAATTTCTTTCAATGTTTCTAGTTTAAGGAGTAGTGTTTTTCAAATAACCAATCGACCATAATTCACACATAAGAGTTATGCACAAGTATATTTAAGGCCGGCCATGTGTGTAGGACATCAAGCTTAGATGTTTACTCGAGCTTTATATAGAGTGTTTCACAGATGCAATGAGCATACTGTATATTCTGATTATTACTGTAAAACTCCTAAACCTAAAGGAGAATTATAATGAAAACTGCTTAACCACAAAAGTGCTGTCTATATTATCTTTCTATTTATTGTTTTAAACACCACTGAAGTAGGAAGTGAACAAATTTCATTATTATATTTATTATTTCTCCGTTTCATTATTATTTGCTACATTTGTTGAAGATAATGCAGAATATCTTGTGTTTTTCAGTGGGTGAACAGTGTACAGTGTACAGTCAGATCTTTGCAGTGCAGTATGCAAGTCATGAACAGATCGGCCAAATTACAGCAAAAAAGTCCAGTAGTACGTTTAGAGAACAAACCATCCTATTCAGATTCCTGGCCTGTCATCTCTACTTATGTCTTAGTATAATGACATGGGTATGACCTACAGTAGGTTTTACAATATTAAGCTAGTTTATGAGGACATGCCATGTGTCCTTGTATATCACTTCACTTGAGTATTGGGTTTAGGGGTAGGGTAAGGCTGTATAATAAACAGTATGTTTTTTTAAATACATTACACCAGGGGAGAGTCCTCACAAACCTCCAAAACAAATATGTATTTGTGTGTGTGTGTGTGTGCGTTCTCTTGGTCATTGTGTGTGTTGTTGTGTGTGCAGGGTTACCAGCGTGTGCGCAGGAGCAGTGAGGAGGAGCTTTCTCTCTTGCACACTCATGACTTGGAGGAGGGCAGCAGTCTGGACAGCCACTCTTCCAGCTCTGACAGCCAATCAGAAGAGGTCAGACACTCTCAGCCAGCTGTTAATAAACTGCATTCTCTATGAGCCTAACAAAGTTTCCTCTTCTCCTGCAGCCTGATTTTCCGGATCTGTTTCTTAATCAGTCCATTCACACGATTGAGTATTGCCTTGGCTGCATCTCTAATACTGCGTCTTACCTCCGCCTGTGGGCTCTCAGCCTGGCACATGCCCGTGAGTGACGCATCCTTCAATCTCTGTGTCTACATTTGTGTTTACATTATGCAGTACTACTTTAAAAGAAGGAACAAAAGCAATTGTCTAAGAACAAATAACCAGTAAGCAAAAGCCTGTTACCTAGGTCGGTTTATTTATTGATTGTTAGGTGTATTGAAGTATTTAAACTGAAAATGCAATTAATTAAATCGGGAAAAATGTTATGGTATTTCTCTAATCGTTTTCTTTGGCCAGCTTAATTTTATTTAAGAATACACAGTTGTTAAAAGACTAAGAAACAAGCAGCTTTGTCATAATTGTTAAAGAAGAACTGAATGAATAATTTTAGCCCACTGTGTTTTTAATTTTTTAAATGAACTAAAACCAAAATAAAAATTAATTGAAACCACAATCACCGGCCACTTTATTAGGTACATCTTACTAGTATTGGGTTAGACCCTATTTTGCCTTCAAAATTGCCTTAATCCTTGAGCATAGATTCAACAAGGTACTAGAAATATTTCTCAGAGGTTTTGGTCCTTATTGACAGGATAGCATCACACAATTGCTGCAGATTAGTCGGCTGCACATCCATGATGCAAATCTCCCATTCCACCACATCACAAAGGTGCTCTATTGGATTAGGGTCTGGTGACTGTGGAGGCCATTTGATTACAGTGAACTCATTGTCATGTTCAAGATACCAGCCTGAGATGGTGATTTGTGTTCTATGACATGGCACTCTATCCCAGTAGATCAGCTGTTACTGAAATACTCAGACCAGCCCGTCTGGTACCAACAACCATGCCACATTCAAGGTCACTTAAATCACCTTTCTTCCCCACTCTGATGCGCTGTTTAAACTGCAGCAGACTGTCTTGACCATGTCTACATGCCTAAATGCATAGAGTTGCTGTCATGTGATTGGCTGATTAGAAATTTGCGTTAACGAGCAGTTGGAAGGTGTACCTAATAAAGTGGCCGGTGAGTCTATGTAGACAACACTTATTTAGATTATTGTTATTATATATTATTTTTAACCCATATTAAAATGAACATGAAAACAGCTCATATAAAATGGTCTAAACTTGATAATAAAACTACAGTATTAATACAGATGCAAAATAAAAACTGTTATTATAACAAAGTATATAAAAATATATGAAATTATATTAAAAATACCCACTGATATATTAATTCAAGCAAAAATTGCACTCAGCACACACAGCTACTTTTTAATCTTAAATTTTAATCGTTGAAATTTGTAATGTAGGTTTAAAATAAGTGCAACTGTTTTTATTTTTTCATAATACTGTTAATTAAAAAAATAAATGTTTAATGTGGGAGAGTGGAAATAAAATATGTTATACAGTATATTCTATTACATTATTTCTCAATAAAATGGTTGCACACCTACTTCATTTACCATCTTAATTTATTGTCAACATAGCAGTTTAGAGCTAATGCATCTTCAATAGGATATATGCCGAGCTAGTGTTTTACCCATACTGATAAACTTCCAGCGACCTCTTATTGTGAATCTTTTTCCTTTTTATACGGTTCCTTTTACAGTATCGATGTTGTAATGTAATTAAAATACATTCAAGTTTGGCATTTATTTAGTTGTTTAAGCGTAAAACAAGACAAAAAGCCTTTTACTCGCACATGCCCGTCAGAATTGGCAGGCTAGCGCATCAGCTCTATTGAATATACTGGGGTAAAATAAATGCTCATGGCGATAAGACATAGCGGGGAAAGTGTAATTAAATGCAGTGCTTCTTGTACAATCTGAGACCCACTTCATATCAGATATCACTCAGTCAATGAAGATTGCTAATTTTAAAGAAAATTGACCATAAGCGCTTAACCCAGGTTATAGGCAAATTCAAAGTCCTATTAGCATTCTTCAGCCTATAACCTATTGTTTTGTTTAGTATGTTGCAATTACCAAACAATTAAAGAGATTGCTACTTGTAGACATGTAGAAAGCCTTTACAAGTCTCAAAATTAATTTATTCAAGTTGGCTTTTAATATTTAATTGTATCTGCACTAGTTGTGTATACTTTTATAATATTCTTCTTGTTGTTTTATTGCTTTTGTATTTATTAACAATGTCCTTGATGTGGTAGAAAGCACCTTTACATTTTCAGAAAGCTGCAGTTTGCAATGTATAGCATGTACCAGCTGCTGCTGCAGATTATTTTAGATCTTTAAAGTGTTCTCATAAAAATTAATAATTCCTAATTCGAGGACACAAACAGCTCAGAGAAGACTGTCTAATAGTATTGATTTTATGGTAATTACGTTATGAATGCATTATCAGTATCAGACATTACTTATTTTCTTCTAAACACAGTATGTGTGTGCTTTCAATTTCTGTGCTTGGGAATAGATTGGGTCTTTTAGGTTAAATGCATTGAAAACCGATTAAAAAATCTAACACTTTTGGAAGAGTCATTCAATTTTAAATTGGCAAGACAATTGCAAGACAACGGACCAGTTAGAATAAAGTAATGCTAAATGATTACTTATTTTTTCCCCTCATGATCCAGAGTTGTCTGAAGTGTTGTGGGAGATGGTGATGCGGGTGGCTCTGCATGTGGACACCAGTGTGGGCATTGTGTTGCTGGTGCCTGTTTTTGGCCTGTTTGCGGTCCTCACGGTGTCCATCCTGCTGGTGATGGAGGGACTTTCAGCTTTTCTTCACGCTCTCAGACTCCACTGGTTAGTACAACACCAGAAATATACGCCACCATCACGATCAGCAGGGCTGGGAAGGTTACTTTTAAGATCCGATTACAAAATACATGCAGTGAAAAGTTTTAGTATTGTCCAGTCGGTCTGTCATTCACACTGTTTTTGCTAAACTAAAATGATTAAAGATTGACTCAAAGTAATCATCTGTTCATGATAAATCTGATCAGATTACCACACCCACATTTCAAATGAATAAAGACTATTGATAGTTCATCTGTAAAGCACAAAAAGATATCGTTTGACTTTATAAACTTATATTTTATGTATGATTTGTATGTAATTTTTAAGTTAATTCTCAGAGATATTAAACAATGAACCTTTTAACATTCTAAATATGAGAAAATTTAAAAACAACAGTAACTGGATAACATTTCTCAAATATCAAGAGTATTAGTCCTAATGTCTTAAATTTCAAAATCAAAATTTTTGGCCTTAAAATACCTTAAATTGACTGAAATGTGTTGTAGGTCCTAAATCTTTTTTTAAAAAGGTCCATGTCCATGTAAAGGCACCCAATCAGACCAACAGCCATCTAATCATTCCATTAAAAAAAAAAAGTTTTAACAAAAGATTATTTATTAACTCTATTTGCCAACTCTATTTATATTTATTGCATTTATATTTCTATTTATAAACATTGATTTAATTATCTTCCTTACAATAACATTTGATTTTTATGTTTAAACTGGGCCATTAGGAAAAATCCTTAGTGTTTAGCCCCTTTAAGTCTGAAACTTCATTCATAGGGTCTTAAAAAGTATAAAATTTCACTTGATAAAACCTGTAGAAACCCTGCAAGAGCTGCCTTGTGTTTTTTTCCGATTGGACATTGAATGCTGATCAAAGTTTTTTTGCAGGTAAGCATAGATTACACAAGCTGCTTCCATCCAAAGATGCTAACTAAACTTGCACACAAAACTAGAATGTTGCATAAAACATTTTTGAACAAAGCACCATTTCCATCCAATGAGTCAAAAAGAACACATTCGTCACTTCAAGATAAACTGGCAGCAAATTTATAAAAGAAAAATGTCTGGACTGTGGGACTTTTCCCTCATTTAATACACTACATGGCTTTTGGAGGCGTGAGACCACTCTTTGGGAGTGATGTATAAATTTGCGTGTGCCTGTTAAACCTAAATCAATAATTTATTACACATGTTTCTATCTTTATTCACGCATATTGTTTCTTATTAGATAAAGTTTTATCATACTCAGTTGTCATAGATATAAACATTAGATGTCGCCTACCCTGTTGTTGTCTATTAGAAGGAATGCGTCAATAGAGCTGCCATTTTAGTACAGGGTAGCGCTCCTTTGAAATGAATGCGGGACCAAGCTGCAGTGGAGGACTGTGGCCATCCAGAGCCAGAGAATTACGTATATACACATATATCTATGATCGGGAGTTTTCCTGGATGTTAGTATGCAATTTTTTTTTAATTTACGAAACTTATAATTTTACACTACTTTTCTACATTGATGGATAAGTGATCGCACAGACATTCCTGACAAAAAGCTTGTTTGTGTGTGTGGAAATGTACTATTCCTGTTAAATTTGATCTAATCATGTCCTGAAACACACCTCCTCTCCTGCTTTCACTTCTCATACTGATGCAGGAATACTGCATACTGCATACTGAATCTCCGTTATGAACGACTCGTTCACATAGCAGACAATAGTACAAGTTTCTGGCACCGCAGCATCTTGTTGTCATATTTCTTTTGCATTGATTTTATTCAACAAAACTAGCATAAGCCCAGTGTGTAGTGCCTTATGGTGAATGCAGTAAGTGACTGTATTATCATCAATAACGTTACCTGTGTAGCACAAAAGTTCAGAACATACAAAAATGTAAAAAAAAACTAAATCTTACCTATGAAATGTTCTACCTTTGTATTGTGTTTTCTTTGTTTGCTCGTTACTACACCCATAGACAGCGCTAAAGTCCCGGATCTTCACGTAGTAACAGTCTTGACTAGAGCGGTTGAATGACACCTGTCCTGGGAGCACTGTACAAATATGGCGGCGCTATTGACGCATGCTCAGGGTCCTTATGCGATATCTAGTGTATATATCTATGCTCAGTTGTTAGCATATATTTTTTGATGTGCCTTTTCAAAATGCATGCACATCTTGGTATATCCATTAAGCATTATTTGATGTGATACTACTATTGAGATGTTGCATCCTTTTCAAAGTTATAAGTAAAATATTTCCAAGAGAGAAATGCTTTACGCAATCTATTTCTGAGTCGTCCATATTTGTGTAATGATGATAAGCAATCCAGTTCATCTTTATTCCTATAGCGCTTTTACAATGTAGATTGTGTCAAAGCAGCTTAACATAGAACTTCTAGTAAATTGAAACTGTTTGAGTCCAGTTTTCAGAGTTGAAGTTCAGTTCAGTGTGGTTTAATTTTCATTGCTAAAAGTCCAAACACTGAAGTGTAAATCCATCGATGCGCAGCTCCAAAAGTCCCAAACCAAGCAAGCTAGTGGCAAGGAAAAAACTTCACTAATTGACCAAAGTGAAGGAATAATGACCTTGAAAGAAACCAGGAAACAAGTTTTAAACAGAGAATCCGTTGCCTTGTTGCTTAATATCCCCATGTTTACTTCAATACTAAATGAAGAAGGGGTAATACAATTCTAAGTAATCCCTTTGGTCATTTGAATTACATTTGGGATTTGATTAACATCTATGTAAAATGTCATTATAAGCTAAATACTGTTACGTATATTTGTAACTGTGTAACGCCGTTACATGTATTTGGTTACTCCCCAGCCCTGACCATCAGTGTTATTGAAGATCATCAATGTGAATCAGATCAAAGCTAAAAACCCAACTGACTTGTGTTTCTCCTCAGGGTGGAGTTTCAGAATAAGTTCTACAGCGGCGTCGGAGTCAAGTTCATACCGTTTGCCTTCTCTCTCATGCACAGCAGTTTTGAAAAAGATGGGCTGTTGTGAACGGTCAGATGCTGAAGGTCAGATGTGGAATTTTGATGTATAACATGCCAAATTGGTCCAACCAAATACTTTTGTGGGATGGATTGTATGAAGATCTCGCATCACACAAAGACTGTAAACGGGACTCTTGAGTGCTTCAGATCTGTTGAATGTATTCTGTCAGCTCTTCACTAAAGTGATGCTGGGAAATTTCAGTTTTCCACCTTGTTGCCTGTTGGCTATGATTCTCCATAGCTGAGCACATTCCACAAGTGACTTCAAGATTTCACTTGTACATTTGCTGTAAAGCAAGTGAAGGTTTAATAGTTTATTTTGAATAGTCCAGATTTTTCATCCTGTTGTTTTCACTTCCGTGGTGTTGGTTGATTGTGTTCGTTCATAACGCTGAATGACATTTGGGCAGGTCTTCTGTTTTTGTTAGAAAATGCAGCAATGTCTAGCCCAAAAGTGCTCATTCTTAGCGCTGATCTGGGCTGTAGAGGATGGAGCTTCATGTTTGATTGAGTTCTGAGCTGATCACAGGATGATCAGGTATTTTTAAGTGCCTAACATGCTGAATGTATTCTAAGGGCTGGTGGATTGGATTCTTCTGTGGATAAAGTCATTTGAATTGAGTTGTTTTAATGGTGAAATACATGGCGTCTTTTGCATCGTCTTAAAGGCAGGTGTGAAACTTTAAAACCCTTTTCATTTTATGGTAAATGTTTTAGTGATTAACCGTCACAGATTTGGTCTCTTTTGCCTCTTCTGAATTGATTTTTAACTCTTGACTTTAATGTGAGACGTTTGGGTGTGAGGATTCATTGTGAGCCACTGAAGTCATTCCAGTTTCAGGATTCATTTTCCCTCTTTTTTAAATTTTATTTATTAACAGCGCTCGTTATTTTGATTTTGTTCTGTTGTTTGAGGAGTCTGTGCTTTAGGTGACTTACATTCCAAAGTTTGCATATGAGCTCTTTGTTTAACATTACACAATAAAAAGCTGAACCTGAGAAGAATGTTTGAATCTCTTACCCCTGGTCCATTTTCAAGCACCCCTATATTACATGCATACAGTTGAAGACAAAATGATCTCTTCTGTTGAAGATTTCCCAAGTGCTGTTTAACACCGTTACTGTCACAGAATTTCCTATAATCTGCTTCTTAAGTCTAATGTCACGTAGACATGGGACGATAACTGTTTTCAAGATATACAGCGGTTTGGAAAAATCAAGGCTTTAAAACCGCCAACATTTTCTGCTACACCGTTCCTAAGGTGTGTGTAAGATTTCCGTTTCTCAGATCAGAGTTGAAATCCTCAAAGCTGCCTGTTCAATCTTCAGATCATTGTGTCAGTCGTGCACATCAGAAAAGCAGTTTCTCATTCCTTTGAACAGGTTGCAAATGCTTTTGTACATCCACACAAATGATTATGTGCAATTCTCTGATGTTTCCTACATTATCAGTTGCTGATGTCATGTTGATCATAATGTATCATTTTGGTCTCCATTGAATAGTTTCACCCCCACAACATTTATTCGTTTGTTCAAGTCTTGACATGCAAAATGGCTGAACAAGTCATAATATTTAGTCATGATGCTTTTTCCTGTACATTTTCAATAGACTTTTTTTCTAAATCTATCTAGAATTGGTACATTTCTCCCAGGTGAATCTTGACTTTTTCTAATGAAGGTGCATCTCGAAGCGGATTGTCCTATGTTCACGTTTGTTTTGCTTTTTCTTTGTGCTATGCAGTGCAGTATTTTCCTTTCTGTATCACAACAACTTCTCTTGTCTTTCTACAAACTACAGTGCAATTAGAAAAAAAAAAAAGAGAGAGAAACGTTTGCCAGTAGTTTACATCAATAAATTCCTCCAGCGCACACCCTTATTTTGAAATCATGACTAAGTAATTTGTCATCCCTACACAATGGTGCAAGGATTTGTCATTCTGATGCCACTGACATGTACGTTGACAGAAATGTAGTTCAGAGTAGGATTTTGAGCAGGAGACTGAGTTTCGCAGGTGTTTTGCTATTTGTATGCGTGGTTTTAAGAAATCAAAAGTTAAAAACAAAGAACTTTTCAAATTAAAAATTTAAATCTTGTACAATAACACTGACAAATAATGCACATTTGATCAATCTTACAGAAGTGTCCACATTTTAATATTAGCAGTATTGAATTTAACACATTTTATTTGAAGTCTTTAAACGGGGTTTGAAGATTACTCTGTGTAAGTGAAATGCTACACAAAGTCCTTGAACGTCCATGAATTGGCTGTTCGTAGAAGCGTGAGAACCCTGTTTAAATTAAACACAATTCTTCATATTAAAATCATATATGTAGTTAAACATCTTCACATTTTTTGGCAACTGAAGAAAAGTTAAAACCTGTTTTATGTTTATATAGTCTATTACATAGACTGAATAGTCATGCGACTGACTCGTGTGTTTGGCTGTAAAATCACATCTACAGATATAAACAGCCGCAGGTCGGATTTTCTGCCACAGAAGAAATCCTCATTCATTCATTTTGATTGTACCAAAACCCTTTTACTGCCTGCTACCAAATGAATGACCATATTTTGACTTTTAATGAAGGACTGTTTTAAATAATGGTTTACACTACACAGCATTGTTGGTTTACAAAAAAAATACACTTGATTTTGGTTTTATTTGAGAAAAAAAAAAAAGAAAACATGTTGAATGAGAATTGGAATTTTTTTTATGGCATACTTCAACAAATAAAGGTGATTTAGTATTTAAATGATTAGTTTAATTAATAAAAAAATAATAAATTGGTCGTATACTTCATAGTATAGGTATTAATTCCTTTTATTATAAACCAACCTATCAATCATTTGGTAGAGGTAAATATTTTCTAAATTATGGGATGTGATGGAACAAAACAATTTGAGTGTGTTAACTAGTGACATTAGGAGTTAAGAAATTCAATCATGGTTTTCTTATTGCAGCAGTTAAAGGGTATTTTTGCTAATATTTCAGTCATTTTTTACTGACAGTATCATTTAGATTTAGTTTTTATTTTATTGTGAATTTCTTCATTTTATTTTAGTTGCCTAAACCGTTTCAACCAATAGTTTTTGTTTACTAAAATAATGGTGTGAGGACACCCTGAAAGTAAAAAGATTGTCAATCTGCAAGTTATGAAATAGAGGTTTAGGCTTTTTAAAACATAAAACAAATCATCTCTCCCCCTTCATTCGACATCAAAACAGTCCTAAAACATGCATACAGACATAAAAAGTGCCTGCCGGTATGCGACGTCAGTGTGTTTTAATAGAAAAGACATTTATATCATACATGGACCGCTTGTCAAGAGCAAAGCTTGGACTAGCTGATGTGTTTTGGATTAAAGAGGCATTTACAAGTAAACATTTTGGTTAAAATTCTGATTTTTACCAAACCACAGCATTTATTAGGATGGCATAGCATCATTACTTTTGTTTCCTTTAAAATAAGAAGTATATGGTTATCACAAAATACATATGGTGGCGTGAGTGCAAAATAAGACTTCTACATTCTTGACAGCAATCGGGAATAAGGTGAGAACTGATCTCCAGCGATGTCACGTCTGAACCCACAGCTTTGAGAACAAGAATTGCTTCAAAAGAATTAGCAAAATGACAACATTTCCTTTTTTGTCCCTCCTGAGTCCTGATGATCATTTTTAACCACGTAACAAATTTGTACTAATCTCATGTGTTGGTACAGGGGCTCTCAAATTACCAAGTCAAAAAATGATGACAATATACAATGTGCTTCTCGTCCCAGCAGCCCTTTCCTTCAGGGCATGTTTTAAACCACTATATCGCTACTACTGCTAATAAATACAAGCACTTTATAAACACACCATCAGTTTGCTTGTGTTGTATCACACGTTGCATTATGAATGGAAAATAGTTTGCCGTGTTCTCTGAGAGAAGCCGGCGGATGACTTGTTTACTTTTATTGGTTGATCGTTCGCTCATTCATTAAGTATCCTGATTGTACAAAAAAACTATTTTAATTGCATTGATATGCATCGTACTGTGGCAGTCACAGTAACATGGACATGACCACAGGGGGCTCTACTGAGTCAATGCAGGAAGCAGTTAATTAATGTGCATGACGATCTGTGGATCTAAAAATAGGTTTGTCTGAAGCTCATTGGTGAACCGAAGAACGAGATCATTCCTGTCTAATTATCTATGCAAAGTGGGTGAAGCCAGGAAGAACGTCTGTAGCTGGGTGTCCAATAAAAGAGTACGATCATGTTCCTCTGACATAGGCAAATATTCAATCTTCCTTTGCCCAAATATGGTATTTTTGCTGATATGAAGCAAAGCTGAACAATCAGATCATTGAGTAGTTGAGTGTCCTCTCCTTTATATGCCAGTTTCTTCATGTGTTGTCCAGCAGGGGGCGGCGAGGAGCATATTTGATATGATCTCATTAGAAACAAGACTCCGTCTCGTGTGCGTCACTGTAAGAGATGCAGGGAAAGTGCATACGTGAAGGGGTTGTTCTGAATAAAAAGAACCTGATTCACTTTGGAAGATAATCTAGGGCGGCACTTGGCTAGAAGAGTTCAGCTGCGCATTTCTCACACTCTCACACACACACACACACACAATCATCACTGAGGTGAAAACATTTTTCAGAGTCTGTTCAATAGTTGGGCAAAGGTATATGTCATTGGGCTGCAATTGCACACTCACGCTAAATACACACACTCTCTATCTCTATCTAAGAGATTCAAAGAGTGGAGGTGTTCACACCTTGCCTCCACTTTCTCTGCGCCCCTGACGAATCTGTGTAGAAGATTTATTCCTCAGTTGTTTCTGTGAGTCTGCAGAGTCAGTCAAGTGTCTGTGTGTTCAGAAGATCTCTGGACACATACTCCAGTCCTGTCGATCTTTGGCCTCCCAGTATCCCCCCTTATAAACGAAGATGTTCTCTCCCGTCATTTCATCCGTCGTCTGGTGGAACCACAGTGGTTTATACCCCTCAAAGTCTTCTCCTGGAACACAAAACAACAGTTCATCTGTTTTCACAGGTAATAAACAACAGAGGAACAGCCGAAAGACTGGCTGACACTGTACCACTTCAAAAACAAATCTTTAATGACTGGAGCTTGTTAGACTGACCACTGTTACACTGTAGGATCTCATTATTGTCATAATGTCAGGCTGAACAACAATCTAGATGTGCCAAACACAGACATATGCAAGACTCAGCAGTGTTCATTTCGGTAAAGTGAGAAAACGAACGTGCACACACACAAAAAAAAACTGCATTCGCCTCTCTTCCAGATGTGACATTTATAAATAGCAAATGATCTTGAAATTGTGGGCAGCTGACGACTGTTCGATCTCATGAACAACACCTAATTATTATTAGCATTCTCATATAAAAGAGCACATGCCAATATACTCATTTCTGAGGTAGAGGCTCATGTAGGGACACTTATTTAGTCTATCCTAGAGGGATTTGCAAAATAAAAAAAAACTAAAAATTACATTTCATATTATGATCACTGGTTTAAAAAACAAAAACATGGATTGGTATTAGGACTTTCTTAATATATACAGTTTACAGTTTACTTTGGAGGGCAAATATAATCACAACGGCTAATAATTGTCTGTTGGTGAACATGCCAATACAACAATCAA